TTGGCAGCATACCGTTAACCTAAGCTGGTAAAAATAAGCTTAGGGGGTCTTTCATGCAGGTCCCCATATCTGTACCCTAAAGTTCAGAGAGGGGAGGGAACCGTGACAAAGCTGTTCTCTCATAGTAGCTACAGCTGTCTCCCCTATCAGATGAGAGGACAAGACGTGTTACAGCATGGTATTGGCCTTTCTTCTAGGGGTCTGAAGGTGAGAAAACACAGTACTTTGCTCCAGGAAGACTGACACACCTTAGCAAAAATCTGAGCCCCTAAGGGTGATCCACAACCAGAGCTTCCTGTTCAACAGCACATAGTGCTGGCCACAAACATCCAGTTCATACATATTTTCTGGCAATGGGCTGGTCCACACCGGGCGGGGGATCGATCTAGGAAACGCAACTTCAGCTATGAGAATAGCGTAGCTGAAGTCGACGTTTCCTAGATCAAACTAAGTTTACTTACTGCGGGTCCACGCGGCGTAGGCAAGCTCCCCCATCGACAGCGCTTCCTCCTCTCGGCGAGCAGGAGTTCCGCAGTCGACGGGGGAGCGCTTCTGGGATCGATTTATCGCGTCCAGATGAGATGCGATAAATCGATCCGAGAAGATCGATCTCTACCTGCCGAATCGGGCGGGTAGTGTGGACCTAGCCTAAGTGAAGATAGCATTTGGCTGCATTGAGTAGCCTGGTATCAAGTCACCTCAGCATCTAAGTAAACTATTGCAATCAGTCTAGTCAAGAAGTAAGTTTAACAGGATGATGAGTTGGATAAAATATGTTACTATTCTGGAGTGCTTCTCTCTCTGTTTTTATCCTTTCTTGCCTTGGTTATCCTTTCTCAGGTTTCCGTGTTCTGAATCTCTGAGGCATTCTCACTCATTTTTCTCCATTCCTTTCCTGTTTATCTAGGTAAGATGATCATGTGTCTGATTGTTTGTTTTTTTCCCTGAAGTACTCTGTTTTCTTATTGCAGCGCTACCTTGATGAAGCAGACAGAGATAAGGAACGGTACATGCGGGAACTGGAGCAGTACCAGAAGACAGAGGCCTACAAAGTCTTTAGCAGGAAAGCACAGGACAGGCAGAAAGGCAAATCACATCGGCAAGGTATTAAACCATAACAAAAATAGTGCCTTCATGAAAACTCAGCCCACATTCGGAAGAGAGGATCACTAGGAGGGTGGTGAAGCACTGAAATGGGTTACCTAGGGAGGTGGTGGAATCTCCTTTCTAGAGATTTTTAAGGTCAGGCTTGACAAAGCTCTGGCTGGCATGATTTAGTTGGGGATTGGTCCTGCTTTGAGCAGGGGCTTGGACTGATATTCTATGGCTTGGTCTACACTACCCCCCTAATTCGAACTAAGGTACGCAACTTCAGCTACGTGAATAACGTAG